AACTAATTAAGGTACTTGAAACCCCCATTGTGCTAAGCTATGTCGAATTTTTGGTTAGAAATCTTCAACATAACTTTCTTCCGGAAGCCGATTCACAGATCTGGAACACCAATTTATCACTATCGTTGCAAACACTAATTATTATTATATTTTCTAATGTGAGAGGATGAATCGAATTGGACGTTCACTGCCTTGGCATTTACTGTGGAGAACGACTACTTACTGTATTTTTGATGCAAAATAAGCTCGAATGCGTAATCATCAAGAAATGGTTTGGCTAAGGCAATGTCTTATCTTTAATATTCTGCAAATGTGCGAAACAAAGCTGCATATAAACATTTCCGCATATCTGACTCAATATTCGTTTAAGCAGAAAAATTTTTTTAGAGCGATATGTGGTGGTTAGGTTTCCTCTTCCCTCTGATCTTCGCTCTTTCAGAAAAGAAATTCTTTCGTAATAGTATAAAAAAACTGTTTCCCATTTCCGTTTTAATACTTCTCTAATTTGTACATATTCCTACTAGTAAGCAAAGCATTATCGCTAGATTTTGTGTCGCTTCTGTACGAGTTTTTTAATAATCCATATTAATTATGCTGAACTTACACTTTTGGCACGTTTTCTTATACACTTTTTATCAGCACCTGTTTTCTGCAAACATGAAATCATAAGTGCTTCAGATTTAGTTTAGAGAACATCAGAAGGATTTAGCAAAATTACAACCGTCTTTAGTAGATTAATTTTGTTTATGAATTTCTAATTCAGAGAGCATCGAGAAAAACGAGCCAAGGAAAAGCACTCCTATGAAAAACGTTCGAAAGAAAAGGCAGCTTTTGAGAAGAGCACAAGATTGAAGCAAGATTGGAAAGAGAACTATACTGAAACAAAAGAACAAATCGAACGACTAAAACAACAAATTGCGGAAGAGGAATCGTATAGGAAAACGGAAAAGGCGGAGCGACAAGAGGATCGAGCGAAAAATCATGTAAAAAGCCCCGAGGAGAAAGGAGGAGAAAGAAGCGAGGAGAAAGTGCAACAGAGGAATGTTATCGATGCTGTGAGCAATGAAGTAGCAATGCTGACATACGAGGAAGGGAACGCCGTTCAAAGTGAGTTTTGCTCACCAAAGCTTTTATTGGCACAAACGATCAACGCGTTCGAAAATGGTAATGGATGCAGACAAAACCTAGTATCAGTTTTAGCACAGTTGTAAAGATGTGATGATTTCTTCCTTATTGGTATCTTGTTTTGTTATTCAGACTCGTGTGCGCCGATTTTACTCACAAAAGATTTGATATTTCATAGTTCCAAAACAAGTACCAATATTGGCATTAAGTAGGACACTTAAGCAAAATATAGATGGTTGGATCAAAAACATCTAAAATTGTATAGGAAAATCTGAAACAAGCTGTTCTAGAAAAAAAAGATGTCAAAAAAGTAATGGAGTGAAATTTTACCAGCATTTGCTAAAAAATTTTAGAAGAGGCAACAAATAAGAATGACCCGTTTAAAACCACTCGCTCCAAAAGTATGGTGGAAATAAGAAAACCAAAAAAGTTTGAAACTTCCTCTGCGTCGACGTCAAAACGTGATGTGGTTCCGGAACCGGTGCAGAACTTTGTGCCGCAAATCACTGTTCCGCGGCCTTTTAATGTGTCCATAAGGTGAGAAAATTTAAACTAAGTTTGCAACCAGTATTTCAGCGTTTTTTTTTTCCAGAAAACCCATAGTCAATACATATTCAACAAAATTTGTCGAAGAAATGGTCTCAAAAAAGAAACAAGAAGAGGAAGAGGAGGAAAATCAGGCAAGCAAACCTAAGCAGTAAGTTTGAATTTCATACTTTGTTAGTGCCAAATTGTATTGCAATAGATCTCTC